ACCTAGCTTTTTTGTAGACTTTAAAGCCTCTGTAGGGGCTGGGGATTTAGCTCAACGGCAAAAGCGCCTGCTTGGCAAGCGCAAGGTCGAATGTTTCCCTCCTTTTATCCTTAAAATAAAAAAAAAAAAAAAAAAAAAAAAAAAAAAAAAAGCCTCTGTAAATGACTAGTAACACCTGATACAGTATAAATGCAATATGGACAGTTGGTACACTCTGTTACTTAGAGGGGTAAGAAAGAAGTCTGCACATGTTCAGTACAGAGTTTCTTTCTCAATACTTTGCATCCATGGTTGGCTGAATCCAGGCATGCAAAAGCTGAGGACGTGAGGGCAGAGTACTGTAACCTCTGTGTCATTTTCCTCATATGGCACAAACGACAATGATCTTAAGGTCGTGGGGCTTAGGGTTGAAAACGCAAGTCCTTAGCCCAAGTCTTGGTTTACAATAGTTGGATATTCAAATGCTTATTCAAATGTTCATTTGTCTAAGTGGGGCTGCCACTGGGAATTCAAACATTCCCCTTCCCCTAGGCCTTCTCTTGGTAAATATTCTGGCAGTCTGGGAGGCTGAGACAGGAGGATCACAAATTCAACCCTAACCTGGGCAACTTAGCAGGAACCTATTACAAGATAAAAAATAAAAAAAAAGTCCTGGGTTGTAGTTCCGGGCAAGGGCGTTGGGTTCAATCCCCAGTACTGGGGAAAAAAAAGAAAACAACAACACTGATGTCTTTGATCAGAATGCACTGCCTGGGGTTTTGCAGTGCCCAACCTGCTCCACTGTGCATGGCAGCTTGGTTAGGAGACAGGCACTGCTCCCAGCATTTTGCATATGTGAACTCATTTACAAACTTGAGCTCTCCACAGCCCTGTGGGGAAGCCAGGGCTCTCTACTAACAGGCTGGGAGAGCTCATCTAAGGTCTCTTTCCCTCTCCCAGACTCAGTTTTCACAGTTAAAACTGAACAAGTTCAAAGGTGGGAAGGGGTTGTGGGTCCAGAATTACTGTGCCCTGGGGGCTGACACGAACCTTTCTCCCTCTCCCTGCAGGTGGACAGGTGGCACCCCAAGGGCCAGTGGCGCCAGGACAGCATGCGGTAAGGGCCTCTGTGCTCAGGAGAGGGGCCCTAACCCTTCCCATGGGCTTAGACTTGGGGCTGAGAAAGCAGTCTAGGACCATCCTGTGGCTTCTCGATGCTTGTAACCTAGTAGCCATGACAGAGAGTGAGAGAGTCAAAGGAATAAGGATTCTCTTCCTGGAAAGACTAAGTGTTCTTGGAGGGGACACTGGAGCTGGGGTTTTGTAGGATGCATAGGAGTTTGTTCCTAAGGCCCTACCCATGACTGGCCAACCTTACTCGTCTTCTCCCAGTGGAAGCAGCCTCAGTGAATGGCTGGTGGGTCGTGTCTTCCCCACCTGAGGCCTCTACTCTAACTTTCCAACCCCAGGACTTATGAACGGGAAGCCCTGAGGAGAAAGTTTACCAGAGCCCGAGATGTGGACTCCTCTGATGAAGAGGGCTACGGCTGGGGCCCGGCCACTGACCTGTGACCCTGCCCGGTTGCCGGCCTGCAGGGCCCTCCTTTGCCTCCCTGAACTCAGCTGTTCGCCCCACAGAACCTAGAGCTCTCCCACACCCTCCTGGCCTTTAATAAATACTATTTTCACAGCACTGGCTTCCAGGAAGGGCCGGGGCCAGAGAGCCAGGCCGTGGGGCCAGATCCAAGGCTGTGGTCACTGAATAAGCTTTTAATATCTCACACCAGAGAGCAGGCGGGGCAGGGGCGGCAGGGCTAAGGCGCGGCGGCGGGGGGCCTCACAGGTACACGGGCTGCTCCTGGCCGGTGAGCAGGCGGTAAGTGGCGGCCGGCATGGTCTTGATGTGCACCTCGTCGTGGGCCTCGGTGAGCAGCTCGATGATGCGGTTGTGCGGCGTGGCCACCACGCTCTGCCCGTTGATCTCGATGATTCGGTGGCCCACGCGGACGCCCCCGCGCTCAGCGATGCCGCCCCGGAGAAGATTGCAGATCTGGGGGGAGAGGGGGCTCTCAGGAGGACCCGTGCACCCAGTGCGCCTGGCCCTCCGCAGTGCTGCCGGCCCCCTCTGCCACCGAGCCCTCCCAGCCCCGCCCAGGCCCCGCCCAGGCCCCGCCCATTGCCAAGGCCCCGCCCGCCGCCCCTGGCCACACCCTCTGTCGTGCCCCAGGCCCCGCCCATCGCTCAGCCCCGCCCCTCACGATGCCATCTTCCACGCAAAATCCCAGCTGCTCCCGCGAGTGTAGTCGGCGGATGATGGCCGTGGTGACCGGCGGGCAGTGTACGATGCTGAGTGTCACCGACGTCTGTGGCTTCACCTCCTGAGGGGCGGGAGGCATTGGCCTCACTCGGCAGCACGGGCAGGCCGCGGCCCCTGGGGCCTCAGTTTCCCCGCCCGTCGGAGAAGCCCCGGTACCCCGACCCGGACTCACGCGCACGGCAGCCTGGCACGCGGCCAGCGGCAGCCCCACCAGGCTGGCCCCGTTCACGGCCGTCACGCGGTCCCCGATGCTGAGCGCGCCCGAGCGCTCC